TTGGTGGATGTGTGGAAATCATGGCTACTGCCCATCAGCTCCCAGGGTGGACCATGTGCATGATGTAGAGTGACAGATCAGGTCTCCGAGGATGAAGCAATGGTGGCGGATGATGTGTGCATGTGGCCAGACCCGGAGTGCGGACCCAGCTACCCTGGCACTCAGCAAATAGAGAGAGTGAAAAAGTGTTTCTTTGTGTTTTCTTTCTTGCAGGCATGGATGGCTTTTTAAGGTCCGATGAGAGACAAAGACTAGCTAAAGAAAGAAGAGAAGAAAGAGAAAAATGTCTCGGTAAGTTGTGCCCTTTGCTGTTTAGGTCCAAGGAAGTGGAGATACGGTGGTGTCTTTTCTCAGAGCCTTAGAGATTTGTGAGTGAATTGGAAGACAACTAGGACAGTTGTTAGATGAATCTGGAGAATCGGGGGCAAACCTCCACTGCCTCTGGCACAATCACAATTACGTAATTCATGCACTCACTTAGCAGACAGTGAACCTGTGCTGTGTTCCGGGCACTGTGCAGATAGCATGGTGAAGAGTGGGAAGCAGCTGCTGCCCCCGCACCTTGGGCATCCACTGCGTGCTCTCACTCAGGCGCTCTCGGGCATCTAGAAGGGGCATCCTCAGGAGAACTGAGAAAATCTGCACTAAAGACATTTTCTGTGTTAGGATAGGGAACGTGGTTGAGAAAGGCTCTCACCTTTTGGAGGCCATATATGGATAAATATGACATGTCCCACAGGGAGCTCTAAGGTAGATGGGTAGTGATTTCCCCACTGAATTGAGACGAATGAGGAGCATTCAGGATCTCCTTGACCGCCCCGTGCTGGGTGGCTCAGGCATCTTGTCCTCCAGGGGACCCTTCCCTGATGCAGCCAGGTGGAGGTAAGGCCCCTTTGGGAATCGTCTTGTGGGGAAGGCCGATCTTATTCATGTGTTCACCCCCTTGCCTAGCCCTGTGTCTGCTGCTTGGCGTATGCCCAGTTAACATGTTTTGAATGAACGGATCTTTGCAACTCTCGTTTCTCAACCCGTGTATGGCTTAGACAGTGCGATGAGTCTAACTGCATGATAGCAGTGGCTCCTGCGTGTAGAGACACTTACTGTACACTTTCTGTGCATTGTGTCATTCCGTCTTCACAGCACTATGATGTTGCAAACATGACTGTCCCCACTTCACAGAGGGGGATACCAAAGCAGAACAGTTACATGGTTAACATGCCGAGGGTCACCCAGCTAGTGGCCGAGGTGCCAGAACCCCTCATCTCGGTTACTGCAGTCTAAGATCCTACCAGGCTCTGTTTTCGGTCTCACTCACACTTCTGTGTTTTTGGTCTTAATCCAAACAATGCAAGGTGCTCTG